CATTCTTGAAAAGCAGTCATCCTCAGGATGTTTGTAGATCTTCATCCTCACCTGCTAAAGTCTGCCTCAGATCAGCAGGTATTTAATGAGAGACGTTTGTCATGAGCAGACTGATGATCTGCAGCATCTTTCTGTGGGAGAATATGTATCATCACAAATGTACCAGCAGGATCAAAATGACAAAAACATAATACACATTACATTTGCTTCAGAATAGTTCTGTGCTCCATCGATCTCATCGTCCTGGGGGTGGGGTGAAATTTTTATGTCTCATGTTGCTGATAGGGCGCTTGAATGCGAATATACTCCGGATTAAGTTTGAAGGTACACCCTCTTAGCTATCGTTTACATATATCATGCATAAACTGTTTTTGCTTTTCCCCCCCCTCATACATTTTCCAGCTCCCCAGAATGATCTACATTTTCAAAGAAGTTAAAATTATTATCCCTTACTGTAATTCAATAACACAACAATGCAGCCTTTGAAATATGCAAGGACAAAAATAAAGGGGAGGGGAGGGGAGAAAGATTGGGGGTGAGGGTGAGTGGGGAGGAGGGAAGGAGTAGAGGCTGCAGGTCAGAGCAGAGTGAGGAGCAGAAGGAGCAGTGCACACCTTGGTTACAGGTAGGACCTCCTTAGCATTGCTTTTAAGACAAAAAGGTATACATTGTTCTGTATATTACCTTTAAAATGCTGGTATGCTATATAAATACCAAAAATGCAAATGATGGCTTTTAGGGACAATTTGCGACTCACAGATTTTCTTTCAACCAACTGCAGGACATGCGAGTTTCAAAGAGGTGTTTAGCTGTGCTGAGCTTTACACTCCGTAACGCTTTCTGAATAGTTCTCTTGTTTAGTTTGGATATGCAGTAACGCTCATGACCGTACTGCATAATCTTTTCAATTATGAATGGTATCATTTATTTTACACTCAGTGGAGGGTGTTTGGTAACTTAGCAACTACTGCCTCTCATTCAACATTAAAGTGGGGTAACATGAGAAGTCAGTGTCTTCTCTCCAGATAAGTGACAGGGATTTGTTACTGAATGTAACCTACAATTCCTTAACTTCAAACTTCAAACTACAAACCGTGCATCTTTTAACCCATGTGTGCATAAACTGTAGTTTGATTAAACTTGTGTTTTTGTGTTCCGTGATTTCCTGCATCTGAGTTCTGTTTAAAATAATGTTTCAATTGACCTAAAAATGTACAACAAATCACTCATGGAAAATCTTAAACATAAAAAACCCCATAGTAAATAGATTTTATCCATTCAAAACAGGAGTTCACATCTTTCCTTTGGGGCCTTATTTTGAACCTGCACAGGTAAACTGATACCACCCCTTTCATCCTTGCAAAAGCTTTTTTGTTTGTTCCAAGGGAGCACAGAACTGCCTACCCAGGTCTACACTAACATATACAGTACATGCTCCTACCAACAAATGCCAGCTCCGAATATGATACCATAAAACGCATAGGCTTGCTGAAAGCACTGACCTTCTCTCGCATACTTTGTGTCAGAGTTGAAAGACAGAGTTCAGTTTCAATGCTTTAAGCAGATAAGCGTGGCTGTTTCCATCAAGAGCAACAATGGGGCACCTGTGCTGCTTTCAGAAAAAATATTTGAGGCTAAGATTTCACGATGAGTAACATCAAGAGAAACAACTTGGCAAGCATAAACCAATGTGTTTTGCCTGGACTCCATGTGTAATGAGGATTTAATAATAATTTGAAGTGAGAAAAAGCAATAGATTATAAAATAAGATATACTTGAGCCAACTGTCGATTAGCATCCTTTTAGAGACATTTATTGTTGTCACCAAACTCTTCCAACAGAGTCAAAGTCTGATTACAACACGGACCTCAGAGAAATGGAACAGTGGTTACCTGAGAGTATTTTGGAGTCTTGTGAGAAACTGGATATTGTGTGGGATAGATAAAGTTGCAATGAAAGAGACTCTGTGTCCCAGTTTTAAAACAGCAACAGATAGGCCATGTGGTTTTTCACAGGGGGGGACTGTGGCATTCATTGATAAAACACCACAGACTGTGTTGATGAGACCCAAGACATCTCAGTGACATACCATACTTAATTTTGCTTCAGATCTACTTAGCTTTTATATTGACCTGCCACTTTTCTGCTGGATGAACATCTTATTTTGAATTCTACCTCCACATGTCTTACATTTTTTAATGTGTTCAACTACTACAAAAGTTTGTGTGTTTTCTATTCACATGAATAATCTTTTAATTCTTTACAGAAACATAAAGGAGTAAAAAGTAAAAAGAGGACTACTGAAATCTGTCCGGCACAATGTTAATGAGGTCTCACTCAGAAAGAAGAGCCCTTCCTGGGTTCTCAGCCCTGCTGACACATAGCACTCCAAAACTGAAAGATGTGACTTTCCCACCTCCACTTTCTCAAACCCCACAGGAGTCCGTCTTTACTCCCATATCTCTTACTTCACCAGCTCCATGGGTAATACAGGCTCTCTCCAATCTGGAGCGAGGAGAACAAGAGCTGTTAAATCTCAGGGAGCAACAGCAGGCCGAAGTAGAGGAGGTGAACCGCAAATTGGACAGCGCTGCAATTGAAGCTCAGCGAGAGGAGCGTCGCCTTCTTGAAAAGGTTGAGCAAGATCACAGAGAAGTCCAACGACACCTCAGTCAAGTGAAGAGAGAAAATGCTGCTGCGGTGAGAGTTGTGCAGTCACTTGTTGATCAGCAACTCAGAAAAATTGGTCAGCTCAGGGAACAGATACAAAGATGGGGGAGTACAGCTGGAGAATTCAATAAAAATCAACTGCAAAGAGGGGTGGCAGAGATCATCCAGCCATGGGAAATCTCTCTAACACTTAAAAGAGTCAGTTTTTTACCAAGCCCTCAGTCCAAATCTTTAAGCTTAGGGGAAGTTGATGTTTGTGAGCAAGGTATGACCTACCACACTGGTGTCTGTAGTGCTCCAGGACAAAAGTGTGCCTTACACTCAGGAGATATGAAATTTTTGAACCTTTCCCCTCTAGAAATTAGAAAGGAACCTCAACCAAACAGAACTGGCCAAAGGTATAGTCCAGAGGAGAGCATGAAGATAAATAGTGGGAACGTGCGTATTGTCCGGAAACTACGTCTGTCAAGTTCCACAGAGAATGAGGAAGACTTAAAATCACCGAACTCTCCCATATCAAGACGCCGTGGTGTATCCGAGTCTTCCCAAGATGAATTGGAATCCGTGTTTTCAGACACACAAGGGCAAGACCTTTTCCTTGCTGTCCAACCTGTCTCCAGTCAAGGAGAATCTGAAGGTGATGACTCTGACAGCAGACCAAAGGGAACAAAGAGACGCAACACAGTGAAAGGTAAAAGAAAGCAAAAGTCTCTTGTCTTGGTGTCATGTAAGGAGCCATCCTGCCCTCCTGAAGAAACTGATACAGCAACATCTCCAAAGACTAGGCACAAAAGTTCACTCTCCAGGCACAGTCTTGTAGATGTTTCTACAAGGCATCTTTCTCTTTCCCAACAAGGCCTTTCACAGAAATCTTCATTGGACAATGGAAGCCCGCCATCCCCAGCCAACAGTGAGGATTTCTGCTACACCTATACTGTGAATACTCCAGTAAATGGATCCCTTAGGCAAGAGCACTGTCGATCAGTATCCACAGCTGACCTCTCTGGTAAACTCCGTCCTTTAATTAGTGATGACAAGACTGAGAGCAGTGGAATCAGAAAGGTCAACAGAATGTGTCTTGTCTCTGAAACCTCAACTTTTGAGCAAGGCCAAGGAAACTCCCCAGAATTTGAAGGGAAAACAAGCGGTGATGAACGACAGTCCACAGCCACGACTCAAGTTATACAAGGTTTGAGTTCAAATCGTGTGAGCAGATCTCTGTCAATGTCAACCATTGAAGGTGACAAATTCCAAAGGGTCAATGAAACACAGCAAGATATGGAAGAGGGAGCTGTGTCTGGTCTGAAGGGGCTGGTGGAAAGAGCTGGTGGTTCAACTGCCCTAGACTCGGCTTATCTAGTCAAACAGTTTGGAAAACAAGGATCAGGCCGTACTGACTTCAACCTGCCAAGTGGTATCCACGCAACTGTCAAAGGGCAGCTATTTGTGGTGGATTGTGGTAATGCCAGAATTCAAGTCACAGATCTCCAGAAGAATGTTGTACAACAGGTGTCTCCTTCAGGACCTGAAAGGTCGTCCCGCATCTGCAACTACTTTGATGTGGCTGTGAACTCAAAGGGCCTCATTGCCCTGACTTGTGCTGCTGAACGAGCTGTGCTGGTGTTCAGTCGTCATGGACGGCTCCTGCAAACGTTTGGAGGCACTGTAATCGGTTCTACCACTGAAGAGTTAGATGCTCCGAGAGGGGTCACTGTTAACCGTCAAGATGAGTTTTTAGTTGCTGACATCAAGCGCGGCACTTTAACTGCCCTAAAGCTTGATCCCAAAACAGGGGCCAGGTTAGAGCGCACAGTGGTGACAGGGTACCACAGACCCTACTTGGTTGCAGCTTGTCTCACCACTGGGCTCATGGCAATATCAGAAAGAGGCAATGAAACTGGGCGTGTCCCATGCATTCGAGTCCTGGAGCCAGGCTGGAACACTATCCGAATACTGGGAGTGTGTTCTGGCCTGGGGCCAGTCCTGACCTGTCCATGGGGCCTCTGTATCGACAGTGATGGGGATGTATTGGTGACAGATTGGGGTAAACAGCACCACCGTGTTCTTATCTACCCATCCAAGGGAGTTGGCTGGCCTCTGGTGACTGACAACCTAAGTAGCCCAAGAGGTCTAGCCCTTCTCCCTGATGGCCACATGGTAGTGTCAGACAGTATGAATCACTGCATCAAGATCTACCAGTACAAATAAATGCAGTGCATGGTAAAGACTGAGATGCAACAAAATAGAGATACAGTAAGGGTGAAAAGTTTTAGAACACCCCAATTTTTCCAATTTTTTATTGAAAACTATGCAGTTTTATGTCTCATTGTACTCTGAAATGAAAGCATGTATTTTAAACTTCTGACTGATCAATGTAGCCACATTTGGCAGATATAACAGCTGAACACACACCCGTGGCATTCACTCTACAACAGAGATCAAAAATTCTTCAGAAAGTTCTTCCCATATCTGTTGCACAAGTTCCCATAAATGTAGCACTTGTAGGTTGCTTTGCTTTCACTCTTCTGTCCGGCTCGATGGGTTTAAGTCTGGAGACTGTGCCGGTCACTCCATGTTTTCAAGCTTACCATCTTGTTCTTTTTTTCCTGAGGTAGTTCTGGCATAGCTCGGACCTGTGTTTTGGGTAATTATCTTGCTGTAGGATAAAACCCTGACCGACAAGGAAGATAACAGAGGGTATTGCATGGCGCTGCAGAATGCTGTGTAAGCCGTTTTGGTTCAGGGTGCCTCTCACTCTGTACAAGTCAAATCAAACTTCAAACCATCACACTTCCTCCTCCATGTTTGACAGTTGATGCCACACATTGTAGAGCCATCCTTTCGCCTACTTGAAGGCATAATACCTTCTTCCAGTCTACAGTAGTCCAGTGGCGATGTCTCATGGCTCAGTCAAGCCTCTTTGTCTTATTCTGACGTCTTAGCGATGGCTTTCTTCCTGCAGCTTGTCCTGTCAAACCTACAGCTTGAAGTCTTCTCCTCACAGATGAAACTGAGACTTGCTTACAACAACCACTATTGAGCTGTGCTTGAAGCTGTTGTCCTGTGAGCCGCCTGTAACGCGAACTGTGAAATCTCAGAAACTTGTCCTCTGATTCAGTTGTGGCTTTGGGTCTGCCAGACCTTTTCCTGTCAGAGTTTGCCCAAGTTTCATTACCTTTTGATGGTGAAAGAAACTGTACTCACTGACACCTTAACTTTCTTTGCAATTTCTCTTTAAGAAAGACTTACATTTTAAAGTGTTATGATGGTCTGTCTCTCTTCCATTGTTAATTGCCTCTTTCTTTCTTTCATTTTTCTAGCAACAAACTACTTTCTGCCGTGCAATACTGTTCAGCTGATGCTCACGAGGGTATGGTACCACAACGTGTTTCAACACTGCTTTCATGCAGACGTAAGTTGGAACACCTGTAAGAATTAGTAGCACCAACTTTCAAGGGTTGATCAAGCTCTATTGCTGCAGAACAGCTTTAAATTGTTGACCCGTTTTGTGTTCCCTGAAAAAGGCCTTTTTGAATAGTTCTGAAATGCACATTATTTTTCAGTTTTGGGTAACCTTACCCTTTTTTATCCTCTGGTAGTTCACCACTTACCTTCTCACCATCTCAATCTATTCATTTGACTTGAACAACTTGAATTGCATTAAATAACTGGAAAGATTTGGGTGTTCTTAAACTTTTGACCGGTAGTATATACTAACAATAATTGGTCTAATAATTTGAGGTAGGTTAAACTCTTAGAAGAGTTATAATCTGACATTTTTTGAGATTCTTCTAAAATCTTGTACCTCTTACCAGTTATATTTGACATGATCATGCTTGTTTAAAGATTTAGTGTCATAAGTTAGAGTGGTGTAGAAAATTACTACTTTGATAGAATAAATTTTCAATATTTTCCTTTAATTTCCAATTCCAGAAGATGCAAGCAATATGGCATGCTTGGAAAATGTGAGCACAGTGCAACGGGTACATCTGTAACTCTTGATAATTGAGTGTTTCTGCATGATATTTAGACTTTTTGTGTATATTCCCATATTGGAAAACATTTAGATGATGAATAATAATCATGACAAAATATAATAAACTCATTGTAATCTCTCTGTTATCAAACTCTTTAGTTGGCTTGGGAAGGTCTGAATAATGTTTGTACTGTCAGTTTCTTAGTTAATTTTATTAAACTTTCATTCAAATCTAATTTCCAGCTATTTTGTTGTTTCTGGAGATTTTTTTTAACCCTACACTTTCAAGGGTGGTTCAATAGCTTTTGGGTATTTCTATAACTGACAAACTGTCCAAAATTGCAGTATTTCCAGAAATCTCTTACAAACACTGTAACACAAATGGAGTCTTTTTTGACCAATGTGCGTGTTAGAAGTGGTAACCAGACAGATCAATAATTACACTTTAATCTGCTCCATAATGAAAGTAAATCTTCTCCTCCTTTACTCTCATCTCAAGGCAGATATAGAAATATAGTTTGGTCTGCACACATTCTCATGTAGAAAGAATAAAAATTAGCAAAGTTGAGTGCAAAGTGATAAATAATTATGTTACAGCCATATTTTGCAACAACAAAACTTTCATCACTCTGGCTATACAAACACACACACAGGAACACAGGATTTCCCAACCTGTCCACCCACACATGCACAGCACAGAATAAAAGTGCAGCTTCAGCTCCTGTGAAGCTACAGCTACAGCACCAGTCAAGAGCGAGACTCCAGATCTGAGGACTTCAGCAAGAGAAACATGGAGCTGATCACCAGAACTCTGCTTCTGGGTCTGGCACTTTCCATCACTAATGCAGCACCTGCGTGAGTGTTAATGAGCTCCATTTATATTTTAAAGTTTTAGTCAAAATAGACAATTTGTGTTGGCAGGATTTTTCCTACTATACTGTCTTTAAAGGCAACATGATGTGCCATGTCTTATAAAATAATTTGCGAACACTTGCAGTACGAATTCTCTGTGTGTTGATTCTTTGTTGAGGTTAAAAAGGCAAAATGTGAAACAACTCATATTTTGTTTCTGTAAATTCAGGAATAATGGAACATATTAAAATTGATAACCTTTCTCAAAACATCAGTCTGTAACTATTTAGACAGAATAATAGAATAATTTCTGGATTTTTTTCCTTCTTATCAGTTGGCGATTTAGTGAAAAAGTCAGCTTGATCCATTTGGAACCCTGTTTGTTAGATTACAAAGGTCACCAGATGGATCAATTGAACAAATTTAAGACTGCTTAGTCATCATATTATCGCGCTGTTTTGTCAGTGACTCACTTTTTTTCATCTAGAAAAATAACTTTTTGAAATTATCTACAGGCATCAAGACGAGCCAGCACCAGAAGGTAGGATTTTATGTACATACACTGCACGTTGTTTGTCAGTTACATAACAGCTAGATCTCAATCACAGCAGCATTCTATACTGAGCAATACTCGTATGTGTCTAATGACATGCATTTTGAATATTAAAGTTACATTAACAGTTAAAAGTATGTTACTTTTATCTTGGGAATAAAGATGGAGATGCTGCTCTACCAGACCGGTGTGAAGGAATTGAGTTTGACGCTATCACTCTTGATGAGAGTGGAAAAAACCCCTTCTTCTTCAAAGGTATTGGATATGTTCTTTTTCTTAGAATGTTGGACTAAATCATCCTCTAAAATATTGTGTCTGTGGTGTTTTCTCCTCAGAGGGCCACTTGTGGAATGGTTTCTATGGTCCAGTTAAACCCTCAACGATGTTCTTCAAGGAGCTAGATGAACACCACCACCTCGGCCATGTCGATGCTGCTTTTCGGATGCACAACCCAGAGAACCAAGATGCCCACGATCACATCTTCCTCTTCCTGGTATGATCCTCATATGCTTTCAGCTATCATATGGGTCAAGACATCTTTTACTGATCTCAGATATTGTGTACTATTGTGTACTATTGTGTACTATTTCCAGGATGACCACGTGTTCAGCTATTACAACCACACTCTGGAGACCGGATATCCAAAAACTATCCAGGAGGATTTTCCTGGAGTCCCCACACATCTAGATGCTGCTGTGGAGTGTCCTCAAGGAGAGTGCGTTACCGACTCTGTTCTGTTCTTCAAAGGTATGTTGGCATTTGCTGCTGCAAAACTATTCAGTAAGTCGAAATGGATTCTTTGACAGCATTTTGTTGAGTACTGTGATATAATGAGGCTACAATAAATAAAAAAGAACACTGTGATGACTTGAGATCTCCTTCTCAAAGTGGTCATTTCCCTCCATAGGGCGAGATGTGTATGTTTATGATATAGTCACAAAGACAGTGAAGACCAAGACGTGGCCCCACCTGCCTCTCTGCACCTCTGCTTTCCGCTGGGCAGAACACTACTACTGTTTCCATGGACACAACTTCACCAGGTTCAACCCAGTATCAGGAGAAGTTAGTGGCACGTACCCAAAGGATGCCCGCAATTACTTCATGAAGTGCGAAAACTTTGGTGGGTTCATTAAGAAGAGAATCTTAGAGATTCATTTTGGAGGTTTTTTTGTCAGATACATACAATCTTGTGTGTTTCCCGCAGGTCACGGAGGTGATCACAAGGCTCCTAAATGCAGCGAAGTCAAACTAGATGCCATTTCTACAGATGACAGAGGCAGAATTTATTTATTTACAGGTAATGTGACATATGTTTCAAAATCTCAGTCAGCTCTCACTTAGTGTGATCTCCCATAACTGAATAAATAGATTATAATTTAACTATTTCTAGATGTGCTTGTAGCTGAGGGAACTTGGGACAGTCCTTGTATTTTGATTTAATTTAGGATAAGCAATAAAATTTAAAGCAAAAAAAAAAAAAAGATATTTCAGTTATTTTATTGCCATCAAACATCAAACTGTAAGAGTTTAAATACCAAATAAAATAACATTAACAGTCAACTAAATAATGATGTTACCAAGCTAAACTAAGAAGGTGCGTATTAATAACACACTTAAAATAGCATTTAGCTATTTGGCTAAGTAACATATATAGCCTTATGTAACTGCTAAAGTAGGATTCTTTTGCAGTTTAGTTGTTGCACAGATCAAACAAACAAATTGTCACTTTTCTTTTTTGTAACTTTACAACTTGCCAGGTGTATTTTTGAACTTTAGTGAGAGTCAGGCTAACCCGGAAAGTTTACAAGGAAACAGCTGAGCTAATAC